TTGTAAGACCTACTGGGCGTTTGGGATAGCTGGCACGTAACAGCAAAATACAAAAGGTGATGTACACATGGCGCAATGTAGCAATCCTCATCAATAATTGCACCTCAACGTTCATACGACATACATGATTGGCGTCCTTGTAAGCCAACATGCGTTTCCTCTTTCCTCAACTAGCATTCTCTTCTCGGCTCTTCTTTTATCAGTCGTCCTTTCCCTTTTCTCGCCCTCATTGGTTTCTTCTCTATGCGACTCCCTTGTCTGTCTGTTCTCATTCTTGACCATTCTCCTTGACTCCTTCCTTGAGTTGTCCTTCCAGAATCCTTGTGTGTGGTGATGTTATGCTGTCAGCTCTTCCCTTTGCACGTGCGTTCTAAGGTTGCCTTGTTTCTTGGTACACGATTGTACCATGTCATGTGTGAGTCAGTATCAGCACACCCACTCCTCGGACGAACACAGATACACACCCGTGCGTCAATGCGCATGCTCGGCATCCTTGTCGCTGCGAGCGTGATTGAGGAAGGAACACAGGCCAATGACCATTGCTGCTCAGCCCACTTGCTACCTCAGGCCATTTCTCAGCCAACATCAACATGAACATGCTCTTCCTCAACCCTACAAGACATTCTACACTCTACTCTACCCCTCCCGTGTTCCACTGGTTTCCCACATCGCTGCTGGATATTCTGGTCTATAGGGGCCCGATGCCACAATGAAACCATAAAGATTCTGTTTTATATTCCTTGAGGCAGGCTTTGAATGGCTTGCGAGGTTGGTAAGCTCAGACCCATTCTCGCTCCCGGGTCAAATACTCACCCACTATTACTACCTCCACCTCCGCTAATGCTACGCCCGCTTCCTCGTACGGGTGCCATGCCCAAATTGAATGGCTAAACCCTGGAAACCTGTGAAAAAACGCCCAATCACGCTATGAAAATACGTCACAGTCTTTCATGTCACAATAACCTTCATGAATATTACGTTTACATTTTCATGTGTTTTACCTTTCCATTTACGTATGTTCATATTCCATATGTTGCTCTGGTCCTGCAAACACACAAAAGGACTCGAATCTTTCTTTCCATACATCCAACCCCCACATCACCAACAGGTTTCTCAACTACAACATGATGTTAGGATCTCTGCCCTCCTCGATCGCAAACCTCGCTGCTCTTACTTTCATGTAACTTTATTCCACGTTCCAAAAGTCTTGGTGGACCTGGGTTTATTAGGGAAGCACAGCCGAACCAAGCTTCTGTCTGAGTGAACTCGTTTGCCACAAACGGGACTGTGGCCTTCCTTCCAGCCAGGCTCAAGTCGAACCGGTTCTGGTTCTTGTCAAACCGGTTCTGGTTCTTGTCAAACCAGTTTCGTGGTTCGAAAGTTTTGGCTCTTACATCCTTTTTTACCATCAACCAAGCTTGTGTTTCATGCAAAACCCGCACAACACAGTTTTTGTAGGTTCTTTTGCATGTCACAAATATTAAGGGTTCGAGAGAGCTATATAGCGAGAAATATGGACCCAGCAAGAAGGGTGCTATAGTTCCCTGTTATCAGCCTCATATTCATTCTCGGCCCTTGTAAATGGTGACTGTCATGCCATTCCCTAACCTTGCTGTTTTCTTATAGTTCCACTCTTGACATCCCGTCTGCCCGTTCCTCCATTCAGGTCTCTTCAACGCAATCAGCTCACTGGCTCCATCCCTGCTGAAATTGGATCCATGACAAAACTTAGATATCTGTGAGCTCGACCCTTCTCTTCTCTCCTCTCATGCTCCTTTCCCATCCCGTTTATTCACTCCTTTCATCCTTGTTCCGTTTCAGAAGCAATGGCCATACTTCCAGTAGAACCAGTTCGCTTCGGCCGATGGCCTCGAGTCTATTTTGTTTTTCAAATCGACTTTATGGTTGAGTGACAAGTCGGGGCCTTGTAAAGAAAACTCAGTTCGAGCTTTGATCCGAATTGACTCGAGACTCACTTGAAGATTGCCAAAATGAGTGTAGTTGCTTATGGTGCATAGCATCTTGTTGCTTGGGAGGTTTGTTGCTAAGGGGAGTATGTATGGGGTTTTCTGAAAGGGTGTCGATGTTGGGGGGTGGAAATTGGTAGCTTCATTTGTCATTGGAAATTCAGGATTGGGGGGGACGGAGTGACCCGAGTTGACGGGATTGGGGGGGACGGAGTGACCCGAGTAAAGTTTCATTTGTCTCGGCTTGAGAGTTGCTCGAGGCTCGCCAACTATTACCAAATTCACAGTCTGCTCATATTTCAGTGTGTTCGCTGTATAGTTGCAACTTCACCATCGCATACACAAGTTTCATCTAAAGATCAGACGTAAACAACCTTATTAGAATCGTGACTCCAACAGATGCATCAGTTGATCCAAACATAATTGGTTTAGGGCACTGAAATGAGGAACCCGCAAGGAATAACCCTCCTCCACCGCTCTCCAGCCCCTACCTTCGTAACCACACCCTCCATCACTCTACAATCCTCTACGACCTGTAAGAGTTGAAACAAGTGGTTTGAAACAAGAACTGGCATTTGTACAAACTGGTTTGACCCAAATTGGAACCGATTTGGGTCGAATCGATCTGGTTCTGGCTCTAGCAAGCAAAACCACGACTGGTTTTGGTTTTGTTTTTGGCTTATGCCTATATGTCTTCAATCTTGAATAGAAATTTATAGGAGGTCGTATGTCCACCTCACCAGTTTGTCCATCTCCTTGGCATGGCCCCCTCATGTCCCCCATCTCCTTCTCTTGGACAGGGTTCTCGATAGCAACCAGCTCGCCACATCCATCCCCGTTGACATTGCCTTGCTGACAAACCTGGTAGCCATGTAAGGAGGATGTAATGTAATTTTCTCATTTGCCTCTCCCCTTCCGTGTATCCACACTTCTCCTTGTTTCGCTTCACAAAGAAAGGTTTATTTTGAGCTAAACCAATTTTTGGCAAAAGCAGTGAGCATTTTGTGTATGCAGTGTAATCTAGTTGTCTCATTGTGCTCTTCGATGCAATATTCATCTATCCAGGATGTTGTGTTGATCCTCCCACCCTGTCCAAAACAATGTGTCTAGAGAGAAAGCAATCCATCAATCTGAATTACCACCACACTCAGAATTCCTCCACAACCCCAAGATCGTCTCCCCTCCCTCCTTTCCCCCCCCCCCCCCCCCCCCCACCCCCTCCTCCCCCCTCACCACTGATGTCCATTCTGGGTTGCACAAAGTCAGCAACTCATGAAACAGCGCAACGAACATGGAACACGAATCACTCAAAGTAGGCATTTAGAGACCACGCAAGTGGATGATTTCACGCACAGGCTATTGAAAGTCACAAGGGGCGTACTGCGTTAATATCGACGATATGGATGGGGCATCACCCATCACCACGAACTTGGGGATCGGCTGGCGAAGCTGCGGGATGGTCAATTGAACTGTGTCATGCTTGTCTGCCCACCACGTCTTCCCAAACTGGGCATACATCGGACGGTGTTGTGACCCGTCATGCCCCTTCCCTCCCCCTGCTGTCTTCTTCCTCTGCCTCTCTTGGCATCCCGTCTCGATGTTGCCCCATTCAGGTATCTCAGTCCGAATGAGCTCACTGGCTCGATTCCTGCTGAGATTGGATCCATGACGGATCTTGTGGTTCTGTGAGTCCCATTTCCTCTCCTCTCCTCTCCTCTCCTCTCCTCTCCTGCTGAGATTGGATCCATGACGGATCTCCTCTCCTCTCATTTCTAACGGTCCTTCTCATTGAATGTTATAAACGGTACAGCATGTGTAAGACAAGGAGCATCTCGTTTCTTCTCTACCCTTTCGTGTAAGACAACTCTTCTCCTCTTTGTTCTTCTTAAAAAAGGAATACCATGTTCTGAGTTGAAGCGGTTGAACCTGGCACGAGTACCTACATGCATGTACCAGAGTCTTGTCACATTGGGCTTTTAGTATCTGGCAAGTCCATCTGGCAATTTTGTGACCGCCATGGCCTTTCTCCTCCCCCTGCTGTCTTCTTCCTCTGACTCTCTTGTCTCCCCGTTGCGTTATTCAGGTATCTCCATGACAATCAGCTCATTGGCTCAATTCCTGCTGAAATTGGATCCATGACGAGTCTCTCACGTTTGTGAGCCATATCCTTCTCTTCTCTCCTCTCCTTTCTTCTCTTCCCTTCTCGGGATCCATTCCTCTCCTCTTTGTTTTGCTTCAAAAGATAATACAATGTTTGGAGCATTTGACCCTGACGGGTCTGATCGATCGGGTCAGGTCAGGTCGGTTCGGGTCAGGTCGACCTATTGCTCATGTCTAAGTCAAATCAAGATGCTTTCATGCAATAACGATGCGCGTCGAACTTTAGGGGGGGTCTATTGGATGGTATCAAATAGAAATTCTTGTTGAACCGAAACCGGTGAAAGGAAATGCAGGTGTCGGAGCCCGTGCCTCTCACTCCTCTAACATCCTTCCGTCCCCCCGGCATGGCCATCCAGGTCTCTCGCCTTCAACAAGCTGTACAGGGGCATTCCGGGCTCTCTCACCAAGCTCAAAAAGCTCACGTACCTGTACGACCCGCACACACACTACCTCTACTCTACTTTTCGCATGTTATAGCGTTCTCTTTCTCGTACGTACTCTACAATTGAAACACGCACACTCATTACACATTCAAAGTCATGCTGTGAGTGGGCTATTGGAGCACCTTTACTTTCTTGCCTTCCTGCAAGAACGTGCATGATCTGTAATCACAAAATCTCTTTCTCGTGTTCCTTACCTTCCTCTTCCTCTTCTCATCTCTCCTGCTACCTCAACTTCCCCTTCTGCTACACGTCTTGTCTACTCTTCATTCTCCCTATTGGCCTGCCCACTCCCATCACAAAGTCGCTCCGTGCACTCCACTTTTCCAATTCTGGTTGCACTACGGTGCTCCTTACCTTTCCTCCCCCCGAAACTTGCCACTTCCCACCCGCCTGCAGCGACCTCTCTCACAACTACCTCATAGGGCCCGCAATGAAGCCTCTTGCTGAGGGCACCCTGGATCTCTCCACCAACTTCCTCTCGGGCCCTCTACCTCAAGGGGCATGCCAGCCTTTCTCTTTCGATGCCAACTGCTTTGCGCAGCCCCTTGGCTGTGGGTTGGTGCTGCAACGGCAGGAAGCAGCATGCAATGCGTTCTGTGGCGTCTCCTCTGCTGCTGCTGCTGCTGCAGCTGCTGCTGCGTGTGGAGTACATGGGGTGTGCTATCCAGAAGGCGCTAGCTTGGCACCTCTATGTCTGTGTGATGCGGGATATCTGCAATTTAATGATATCGGTTGTGTTGCTCAAGGTAGGGGGGTCACCAACTGACTGCAAGGACTTTTCACATCAGCTCCAGTAGCTGGTTTACTGGACAGTTGTTTGGTCGGCCTTCTTTCGTTTTGTAAGCTTTGCCACCTCATCTCATCTTACTCATACCTCCATAACCCTCCCTTGTCCATTGCATTCGTGCAGGCCAGAACATAAATTACTCAAGTAGCCAGTCGATTCTCCCGCCAGCATTTGTGCTCACCAAAGGGACACAGCGGGAGACAAGGGGGATCTTCACCGCAGCGCCGGTGACGCTGTTTGTGTACGAGGCAGGGCAGGCGGCGTTGGGGTGTGGGCTGGAGCTCGCCTTCCACGCCAACTTCACCTTCTCCCTCTCGCCTCAATCCGGCCGCGTGGGCTTCAACGGCTTTGCCTTTGTCGTCTCGGCGACGGACCGGGTAGGGAGCGGCTCCGGTGTGGGGTATGGTGGAATGGACAGGCGGAGTGTTGCGGTGGAGTTTGATACTCTGCAGAACAAGGACCATGGGGACATGAGCAGCCAGCATGTGGGACTCAACGTTCAAGGCAAGGACAAATCGGTAGCTGCTGTGAAATCGCCCTTCCCTCTGAGCAGCAGGAAGGCGTACACGGCATGGGTGGACTATGAGCCGGGGGACCCTGACACCATCCAGGTCTTCCTGGCTAAATTGCAGGAGAAGCCGCAGCAGGCGGTGCTGGAGAGGAGGCTGGCGCTGTGTGAGGTGCTGCAGGGTGCAGCCGAGCAGCCCGCCTTCTTCTTTGGCTTTGTGGCGTCCACCACTGTGAAGCCGTTTCAGCGCCACATCATTCTTGAATCCGCACTGGACACGAGTCTTCCTGCTTCTCCTCGACCATTCACACGTATTCCATGTAAGAAAGATTCTCACATGCTCGTGTTGTAAAGTTCACGTTAATCTCTGCTAGGAGGTTATAGGAGTCAAGCATTTTGACTGACTGGCTGACTATTGTCATCATCCTTGCAATCCGCATATATACTATTTTCCATCGCCTTTGCATGTATTGCCTCCTCCATCCTTCGATTTTTATTTAATTGTATTTTTGCGCCTGTGGAGTTTAACAATAGTGGATATGCATGCTCTCAGTAATTTGGGTGGGGGAATGGTGCAATTAACGACCAAGCTGAGCTGGCGCAAGCTGAGCCACCATCATTGTGGTTTACCCATTCTGGGAAGAAAATGTTATAAGAGATATCAGTCATGCATGAGCGATTAGTGCAAGTCCCTCAGCACTGACTACATGGAAGTAACGGAGTGCCTCTTAAGTGGATGTGATCATGATTGTAGATATTCATGGTCCCTGCTAGGGATGAGCAAGGGGCGAACACGAACGTGTTCGTGTTCGCCCCTACACGAACACAGCCGTTTGCCGAACCGAACACTGTTCGGTTCAGCGAACACTTTTAGCAAAAACTGGTGTTCGCCGTTCGCCTGTGAAGGCGTGTTCGGGCGAACCTCGAACACGTTCGTGTTCGTCGCGGGTCAAATTGCAGCAGCGGCTCTCACACGAATGTGTTCGGGCGAACCTCGAACACTGTTCGGCGAACACTTTAAGCAAAAAAACAAAACCTGCTCGGTTCTTTGCTCATGCCTAGTCCCTGCTATGACGACCCCTTTCCAGTTTTTCTCGTTTCAAATCATCTCTTTTGCATCCCATTCATTTCTTCCTACCTCAACCTCTAAGAACATTCCAGCATACGGCCTGCGGCTATCAACGGACACGTACATGCCAGAGTGGGCCAGCCCCTTCCCGCGCTACGTGAGTGCGGACTACCGAGTTGCCGACAGCAAGCAGGACTCGTGGGTTGTCAGCGACTCCACTCCTGGGACTCCGTGCCCTTCCTCGGCTGGCCCGTCAAGGACCAGAGCGACTGCCGTGAGTTAAACTTGGAATGGAGACAATAGACAAAAGTGTCACTGGTTGCTACAATCTGAATGCTCTCTGCCTACTTTTCTATTGCTGCTTTTCACGTTCACGTTTCAACCATCGCACAATGCTTGTTCGGCTCAGTGCTTGTTCCCTCCATCATCAGCACTCGTTGAATTCACTCGATTTTTTTACTAGCTATTTCCATGATACCCAGATGCTTGTTGGGCGTTTGCGGTGGTGGCGAGCGTGGAAGCGGCATACGGCATTGCAATGCATGGAGAGGCGCCGAAGCTGTCAGTGGAGTCACTCTTTGCAGCCATGGGGCTCACCTCCGAAGCTGACAAGTGCAGCACGGGGGGCTCTCCCACCGAGGCGTTTGAAAGGCTTCTCACGCTGCCTCGCGGTGGAGTCACAGAGGCTGGCGCTCCTGTGAGTAGTGAGGTGGAGTGGAAGGCGGATATGGGATAGCGCTTCATTTCATAAGAGAACTGAAAAGAACATGTAGTGTGCCTGATGCTGAGAGCATTGCAAGTGTACAACTGGTGGTAAAAGTACTCCTCTCTGACTTCAAGAGACAGTTCTTTGAGTTATGGTTGCAAAGTGAAAAAGAGTTGAGCCAGGTTAGTCTAGATTATTCCATGCATTCTTATCAAGCAAACTTTGTTTTTCCAGCATTGCCTCGTGTGTTTGTTTCTCTTCTGTCCTAAATGCTGTTCACCAATCTTCAGAAAACGGAGTACCCTGTGCAAGGCTTTGAGCGCACGCAGTTCAAAGGTTTTGTGGGGCTCATGCTGGCAGTGCAACGACAGCCAGTGATGGTTCACATCGAGGCTTCTCCTCCGGGGTTTGCACAATATGATGGGGTGGGTGTTGCTTTCGCTGACCTTACATGGCATATGTTGTAAATGTTTTTTACTATTGGTGCAACCTGCATTGAGCTGTATGCCTCATGGGTACCCACTTTCATCCCTCCCCCATCATTGTCGCGATTTCCCCTTTTCTGTTCAGACCTACAAGTACCAGGATCCTGGGTGCTATACTGGCAGACTGAACCACGTTGTACTCATTATTGGCTACTTTGTCTTGAGGAACGACGGCAGCCAAAACCGCATTGCACCTCCATTTTGGATCATCCGCAACTCGTGGGGAGTGGAGTGGGGCGACAGGGGCCACATGCGCATGGACATACAGGGAGGGGATGGCGTGTGTGGCATTAACGTGCTGCCTGGCATCTACCCCATTGTCAAGAGTGATGCAATTACCTCGAGGTGTTGATTGAGGCAACATCCGACGCGCTCTCACCATATATTTATTGCTGCCTTAGAGTACTCACAGAGTCAGCTATGTTTGGTCCAAAGTAAATTTACAAAGCATGCTTGAAGCCAACACCTACGCTGTGGTGTGTGGAGGGAAGGCATTGTCAACAGAGTGAAGAAAGTGAGCCAGTGGTGTCGACGTCCGTAGATGAGTCAATTACCAACTCATGTTTGCCTATTTCTTTCCAGAAACGTTTTTCACTGAAACCTTTTCTGCCCTTGCTTGTTCTCCTCCCGTTATCGTCAGTACCACCCTCCAGTCCCCAAGGACCCGTGCGGCCAGAGGAGCTTCAAGGGAGACGGCGAACTGCAGCCCAGCATGAACCCGTGTGGGCGGTTCGCATGCCGGGCTAACCTGCGCAGCAACAGCAACTCGTGCAACTGCACCATTCCGAATGAAACCAAGCAGCCATTTGTTGAAGTTGCGAATGGATACGGCTCCCAAACGTGTTCTTTCTGTGAGTTGTAAGGTTGCCGTGACGATCGATGGCCGTTGTTAGAAGAATGGCCATCGTGCAGACGATTGCCTTTGTCAAAGAAATTGGCATATTGAACTCTCCTCCCCCTCCCTCCCTCCGCACTTTTCTAAACCTGAAACAATTGTATCTCGAGCTGGTTTCACCATTTTTTCTTTACGCTTGTGTTTGTGTTGCTTGGCAGTGGACGTGTGTGGGGCAGACTTGAAGAACCCGTGCTACGTGGGTGCATGCATCAACGATGGGAAGGGCTCTTACTCCTGCATCTGTCGTCCTAACTACGTTGAAAGCACAACAATTGACAGCTTCCCCACCTGCGACCCAGGTGCTGCTGCCTTGCCTTTGGTTATTGTTGTGTCATGTGTTGGGGTCGTCATGGCGAGCTGCTTCCACTGTCCGCCCACACACAAATATTTTTTTTTTGCATTTGTTAGAGCCCTTCAGATGAGTTTGTTCCCCTTCTTTCACTTTCACCTTTCTCCAGCCAACGTCACGGCCAGCACTCTGGCAGTGGGTGGGAGCAACTGGTGGTGCTCCGATGTCCTCTCTATTGTGGGCCTCTCTCTTTCCCAATTCAAGCAGCAGAATGCGGTAAGCTGTACAGATGGAGAGGCAGAAAGACTCGAGATGCAGGCAGGGCTGCTGGTAGAGGAGGGGAAGCCTGAATCACATTTTACAGGGAGTCTTTCGAAGTTCTTAGCTGATTTGAATGGAAATAGTATCCTCACACAATCCTAAACCTGGCTATCTTCTGATTAACCAATTTTCAACATACCATTGTCTGTGCACCTCGTTCCAGGCTGTTGACTGCAACCGTCCTTTGCCTCGTAATGTGGCGCTTCAGTTGGGGAGTTCTCTCCTCACTCCCTGTACCGCATTCTTCTACACCCTCAGTGTGAGCTTTAGCCCTGGTTGGTCTTCTCCTTTCTATGCGATCCATCAGATCATTCCTCCCTTTTTTTGTTTCTCTTCTCCACTGTGCTTGGCTTAGCAAGGATTGCATAACAACTCAGCCTATTACAGCATTGCACATAGTACAGCCACTCTCCTTTCACCTCACTTATTGTACCTTTTCGCCTGTTGTTCAACCCTCTAGCTCTTTCTTCAGCACCCTCCCTTTGGTCATTAGGTCCTGAAGTATCTCAGCGCTTAGCTGTTTCACTTTCGAAGGGTGAGGGTTCAACTTTATCCGAGCCGCCTCCAATGCGAATTAGACCGGTTTTCACTCGGTTAGATCATAGCTGACAGTGAATGGAACACTAGAGACACCTATAGCATAGTTTAAGGCTGAAATGTGGAGAATTATGTTTCTACTCCGCTCCTCGAACCTGTTCGGGCCAAAGTGAATCATGATTTTTTTTTTTTGCCCAAATTCGTTCGGGTCGAGAATCTCGATGTTCAAAAGGTTCGCACCAGGTGTCCCCAACTCGCTCTGCTTTGGATTATTATTTTTGTTTGACGTGAACACAGTAGTGTTTTTTGTGTCAAAAACAGCGTGGTATTGCTGGTTATCATACTAGGTCAGAATGTCAAAGCTCGAGGTTTATGTTGTCAGAATTTCAAAACTTTGACATTGTTAAAGCTCGCAGCCCAAATTGCACAAGTTTAGTAAGCTTGCGCAAGTCTAAGGGCTGGGTGGTTTGGGAAAGTCGAGCATGTGTTGGGAGGATCGCGTTCTCTAATTTCGCAACACTCAGCAGCTTTTTCGCTGAGTCAGCAAACCCTGGAGCCAGTTGTCTGTTTGGGACCTCGAGTCCCAAATTGAAGAAAGCTGAAACTTGAAGTTTAGCCCTGGGTTAGGCCTCGACCAATGACATAGCATAATACCTATTGTAATCAGAAACTCGCCAAAATACAGCACACAAAACGCCAATTGTGCAAGATTAGTAATCTTGCACTGCGCGCTCCGTGATTTGGGCCTTGAGCTTTAAATCTTGACATTGTGTCAAAAGCAGAGTGCCGCTTTGTCTCGATGATATCTTATTAGGTCAAAATGACAGAGGTTGAGGTCCATGTTGCCACTTTGTCTTGCTTGTTATCACATTAGGTCAAAATGTCAAAGCTTGAGGTCTATGTTGTCAAAACGTAAAAAAATAAGCATTGTCAACCAGCCCATTACCCCTAAGTAACATAGACCCATGGATTACACGCGTTGAAAGAGTTGTTTAACAAGCTTCAGATCTGTTGCGAGGGGTATTGTGTTGCAAATATTGACCGCAAATATTGAGAGATCCGAATTCACTGATGTCGCAAATCTTAACACAGAAATATTCAGCACATGCAATGTTGTGCATTCGGCAAAATACGAAAACTTTTGAGGACACAATCTGCAACGCAACCTGTGCTGTTTCCCCAAAACACAAAGCGGTGCAGGTCGTGGTTTAGGACGTCATGGTACTGTGGTAGAGGATGGTAGAGTGATGGAAGGTAGGGACCGGAGAGCGGTGGAGGAGGGAATTTCCTCGCGAGTTCTTCGATTCAGCGCCCTGTATCAATTTTGCTCGGTTCAGTTGACGCCGCCGTTAAAGTTACAAGTCCAGTAAGGTTGTTTTCTTCTGGTTTATTTCAAAGAAACTTGTGTATGCAATGGAGGGGGCAGCTGAAGTTGCAACTATACAGCTAACACATGAAGTTGCAACTATACAGCTAACACACTTAAACACGAGCAGACTCTGAATTTGGTAACAGCTGGCAAGCCTCAAGGCACTCTCAAGCTAATTTGCGGAAGACGCGTCTAGCGTCTTAAACGCTGGCGTCTTATACGCTGGCGTCTAGACGCAGCGTCTAAGACGCTAGACGCCCATCAAGGGCTGATTACACGCTGGGTTAGACGCAAGCCCGGGCAGGCAAAAAAAGAACACGGGCAGCCAAAATAACCTTCTATGGGGCATGGGGAGGGGGGGGTATGGACGTAGCTCTCATTTGAGGCAATTGTTTCCCATTCCAAATTGGTTTCCCCATACATAAATGTCACAAGTCACATCACATCACATTGCACACGGTTTGTGGGCTGTTATTCAAGGTTGAAATGGGTGGGGGGGGGGAAGGGAGGTCGAAATTTCGCTATTTATTTTTCCGGTCTGCCCGAAAAAAAAGTTCCCCCTTTGCGTCCTGCGTCTTGGCAGGCGTCCTGCGTCTGGACGCTGCGTCCAGACGCAGGACGCAAGACGCCCTGAGCGTCTTCTGCAACAAAGCTCTCAAGTCGAGTCGAATGAGACTCGACTCGAGTCACTCTGTCCCCCCCAATCCCGACAAGCTACCAATTTCCACCCCCCAATATTTCGCTATATGAGCTTAGGAATTCAGGACTTCTGCTGCAATACGGTTTTGAGTCTGGCCTATATAGAGGGCATTTACATAGCCCAACACACCCTATCTTCACAATATTCACACCCTTTCAGCACACCCCCATACATCACACCCTCGAACAGCACTCCCCTTACCAGCACACCAAGATTCTTTACACCTTGGCCAACTAGACACATTCTGGCGATCTTTAAGCGAGGCTCGAGTCAATTCGGAGTAAAACTCGACCCGAGTTTTGCTTACCAGGCCCGACTTGTTACTCAACCATAAAGTCGAATTTAAAAAGAAAAGACTCGAGGCAGTTGGCCGAAGCGAACTAGTTCCATTGGAAACATGTGATCATTTTTAAAGCGAACAACAGATGAAAGGA